TAGGGTTGATGTTGCTATTGGGTTTATAGCATTATTACTTTGATGAAGAAGACAGTTTATTAAGATAAGATAATAATAATAATAACCATCATCATCATTATTAATTATATTATATAATTATTATTAATTATATTATATAATAATTATATAATAATTATGTTATATATTAATTATAATAAGTCATACTAATAATAATGTGTGCAAAAGAAGCGATGCACAATGCAATTGCTCACCACCTGCTGACCAATGCCCAGCCTAACCCCAAGCAGCCAGCCCTCCCACCCCGACTAGCCACCCCTATATATTGTTTAGCATGACGTCAGATGCTATGGAATACCCCTTTGGCTAGTTTGGGTCAGCTGTCCTGGGTTTGTCCCCTCCCAGCTCCTGCTGCACCCCTAGCCTACCTGCTGGCAGAACAGAGCGAGAAGCTGAAATGTCCTTGGCTTAGTATAAGCACCGCTGTGCAACAGTTAAGACATCAGCGTGTTATCAGCACTTTTCTCATCCTAAGCCAAAACATAGCACCCTACCAGCTACTAGGAGGAAAATTAACTCTATCCCAACTGAAACCAGGACAACTGGGATATGCCCAGTGGGCTCTGTGGAGATATTCTGACATAGTTCCATGAATTCTATTTCATTATGACAATATTCCATGTTGTTTGATTTAAATAAGTTCACTATTTCCCAGTTCTCTCTGTCCTCTTTTCCAACATTTCACCCTTTGATGCAAGATTCATCTGTTGTACTGTGGCATGTGCAACACGTTGGGCATCCCTACATCCCTGAAGTTCTGGTTTGCTTCAAAGTTGGGGTGAAATCAAGTCAGTCTGCCTTTTAGAAAGAAGTTCTATGTTTCATCCAGTAATTTATTCCTTTGTTTCCCCAGAAGTTAGAGTGTTGTTTTATTTGTATTTTTTTTCTAAATTCTTACTTTTACCATTAAAAGACCTGACAAATGGAGACACAATCTAAGTTTTTTCTCTTGGATTAGCAAATTCTGAAGTTTAAATTGTAGCCAGTCAGTTTGGTTTTCATTAAAAACACCCACTAGACATGCTGCCCTTCTCTGACAAAGTACAGTTTTTTTTCCCATTTCAGCAGAAGATATTGGAAAATGAAGATATATATCCTTTTGCCTATTTGTGAAATGATTGAAGAAGGATGTTTATCCTCTTTTGCTCACAATATAGAAATTATTTTAAGATTAGTCTATATGTATTAGTTTTTATAGTGTCATGTTAATGTTCACAGTATCAGCAAAATACTTTTAAAGATATAAGTTACTCCTTTGTCCTTCCTATAATATCTAGCTTTTATCCTATCAAGGATTGCAACAAGTATTCAGCAAAACTAACAGTAAGTTCTCTAATTACATTAACAGCTAACAAGTTATTTCGCTGTTACATAGGGAACAAAAAATCAAGTGAAGCGGTAGGCTTTTATGCCTAATGAAACCTTTTCAAAAAGATTAAGCTTCAGCTGAAACTTCACTAGTGCCTATCAACATTTTATTGTTAAGTTTCTCATTCTTATATCAAGTGAAAATTTTCAGTAACTTTATATATAGAGATACAAGCAGCTATATTGCACTTAACAGCTGATTACCTATTTAATCTCTAAACTTTTCCTGTTCACATTGTGTTCAGCAATTGTAGTACTAAGTCTCTCAGCAATAGCTAACTTTGCCACTTAAAAACTGAAACAATGAAACAATACTGAAAAAGTAAACCAATCTCCAGCACCCTGAAATTACAGTTTTGATTGCTAAAGACTGGTAAAAGGGACTGTCTCACTTCATAAGCCTCACTGCACCTAATAAATATGTTCTGTTTACAGTTCCAGAATTATCATGTTTATTCTTATCTATTTCTGAAAAAAAAAAAAAAAATTAACAACCTAATTGATATGCCATATTGTATTTTGCAACCCAGCTAATGACAAAATTCAGCTTTAATGGTCTTAGAAAGAAATCCATACTTCATCCCATTTTTTCCTTCTAACTAAAAAGTTTCATATTTGCCTGTTTAGGTGATGCTCTCCTTTTTCTTAAGTAGTTGCATTAGCATGTAATTGGTTATTAGTCTTAAGTAATCATTTTTAAGGAAATGCATTACAATTTTCTGCAAGCTTTTTAATGAAGCATTCATTGCAAAAGACACGGCTGGTACATATTAAGCCTCCATTTGAAGTGATTGAAATATTCCACTTCATTCCCTGGGAAACAGGGTTTCTGGTTTCTACACTTGCATAATTACATGGTTCAGATCATTTATTCCTATTGTAAAATCAGATTTAGGCCATTTTATTCCTTATGTCACTCAGTTCTCTTGCTACCAATAATTAACAGTTTCTTAGCAGTCAAAAAGCATTGTATAATCATAGTTGAATTTACTAGTCAATTTAAAAATGTAAGACTTGGCTTGATGATGATTCATGTAGAAAAAAGTAAATCACAAACTCTAATCTCCATTCCGATTACTGAGCCTGGAGCTAGTGACACTTAGCAACATTACTGATTAGGTATGTTTTTTTAACTCAGATTTCATTGTTTGAGCATCCCATTGTATGTTTTAATGCCTTGAGAAATGATAAACTCTCCAGATTACTTCTTCACAATAAAATACAGTTACCAAGAAAAAAGACATATTTAGAAGAACAATTATGCCTCAATAAAATCATGAACTTCCTGGAACATATTTGGTGACAATCTCACCACTACCTATATTATTTACTGCAAAGAAAAGCCTTAGTGCAGTTGGAAAAAATATATATATCAATATATATTGTGGATGCCCTGTCCCCGGAGTTTAAGACCAGGTTGGATGAGACCCTGGCATCCCTGCCCATGGGAGGGGGAGTTGAACTAGATGGTCTTTAAAGTCCCTTCCAACCCGATCCATTCAATGATTCTATGATCAAAACAGGCACAAGAAAATTAATATTATAAAACAAAGACAGCAGTTAAAGCTCAGTGGAATATGTATTGGCTGCAGAGCCTGTGTTCTGTGGGAAAATTACCAGTAAATAAATAGAAAGAGAACCCAGAAGCAAAGAAAATGTCCATGCTGCTTTGTGTGAGAGAAAAATAAAAAATAATAATAATAAAAAAATTGCTTTCTCATTTTTTTCACTTATTCCTTGTGATAAATATATATCAGTGTTTTGTTCCTCCATACTTTTATTTCAATCAATGGCATATTAATGCCAGGCCTCAGTTTTTCCCAGAAACAAGAGAGGCTTGCAAATAAAGACAGTTGGATCTTGTTGGACAGCACTTCCATGGTTAGCAATCCAAATAGAGTCAGAAACTTGAGAAAGATGTGATAAGGTAGTAACAGCAAAGTGGCATGTGTCGGTGTGCTTTTCCCCTGCATGCATACTGCCACAAGTGAAATAGTTTTAGCATTATCTAAATTTTTACTTTTTCATGTTTCCTTATCTCTATTTGCTTTAGGGGAGGAGGAGATTTCACCCAGAGAGCCACAAAGGCCCTTTTGCTAGAATTCAAACATTTGGAGGTTTGGATAATATTGTTACAGGACTTGTCAAGTCACCAACACTTTCACATGATGCTTGTTCAGAACATTACCACCCTTCATCCCCTATGACTGTGTTAAGCTTGGCCTGCTTCTTCTGTCCCCCTTACTGAGCTCCTTCTGGCTGGTCTTCATAAATTCAGGAGAGTCACCATCCTGGAGAAGCTGAGAGAAGCCTTTCCCAGTTTCAAGTCCAGGCCTGAAGGCACAGAACTGATTATTTTCCCAATTCTGAGAAGCTTCCAGTAGAATTGATGTATATGATTCAGTTCATGGTAGTTTAACCCAATGAAAGCCTAGAAAGCTGTTAACACAGTCACATCACAATGACGAATATTGCCCAACTCTGGGCTGGCTTATTTGTGCTTGCTTTGATGTCTCAGTGAGTTTTCCAGGAGTTGCTAGTGTTATTTCAGGACACTATTTTAGCCTATGAACTAAAAATTACCTAACAAGTGGCAGAGTAGTCCAGGAGGAATCAGAACTGTAATGCAAATTAGGGCTTGTTGTACATCTTAGACAGGAGGTAGCAAGTGGACGGGCTGAAAGGCAGAAGTACTAAAGCACTATGGGATGAATGGCCTGTCCGTGAGCCCTGGAGATCACAGGCATGCTGTGACCACACTGCAAGCTGGCTTTGTACAGAACCAGTAGATGCTGAGGAGGTGTGTGTCTAGAAACCAAGAAGAACTTGCTTGCTCTTCATGCTTCAGGAAATTTGGGTAGAGGTTTTCAGGGAAATTATGACTGGAATGGACATGAACAAGCCCTGAGCTGTTGTCTAAGTAACTATCAATGTAAACACGCCCCGAGTTTAAGAAAAACACAGCCTTCTTCCTCCATGAGCATTTGCATATCATCACTGGTGGACACTTTTATTTAATTTTCTATTTTCTTTCTGTGTGAGTTCATTCTGCTTGGTCCATGCCCAGTGCTGACAGGAAATTGCAGTTACAATCAAATCAGCTACTCTAATTACAATATGGCATTGCAGTGATGTTACTCAATGATTCTAGTGAGTTAGAGGCAGGGTCAGGTCTGGGGAGAAAGTATTTAAAACTGAGAAATTATTTTTTTCCTTTCCTATTCAGTCTCTGCCAAGATTTTCATATAGTCTGAAGTCCTTCATATTACAATTATTTTAGTCCTGTCTAATTGTCAGGTTATGGTCAGATGTTAGCACATATCAATTCAAACAAATTTTACTATGCTCCCGGGCCAAAGGCACAGCAGTGGAAATGCTATGAATGCATGATGCCAGCTAGAAGATTCAAGACCTTTATGGTTTTTAGCAAATAAAAACTACTAGTTTATTTGAAAGATTCTCTTATGAAACATATCTTACCATTCTTTTGTTATCAAACGCTTTTAACAGTCTAATTAGCTTTTTTATGCAGCCCTTTGAAAGACCTAGGAAAGAAAATAGAAGCAGCTAACTGTCTTTTCTTTGAATTTCAGGTATTGTTGCAGTCCTTTTCTGTGGAGTCACGCAGGCCCATTATACCTACAACAATCTGTCATCAGATTCCAGGATGAGAACTAAAGAGGTAGGGCATGGAAATAACTGACTTTATAACTGGTACAAGGAATAGACAGACATACTGACAGAACGTAGCTGGATGGAATTCCATTAATGCAAATGAAAAGTCCCATGACTTCATTAGGGGGAAGATGAGATTTTGCCAGGAAAACAGTAACAATTCTCTGGCCAAACAAAAAATATATTCTTCCCAAGAGACCCAAAATGTCAATCATGGAGATAAAGAGTAAGGAGATAATAGTTTACACCAGTTTCCATACAAAAATGCTGCAAGGTTAAAGAAATCTGAGAGCTCTGGTAAACAGGAAAGAAGTGGTCTGAGAAAGTAGATCCATGTGGACTTTTAGAAGGGGACTGTAGAAACAGTCCAGACTGTCCAGCCCCCACACTTGAGCAATGACATCATTTTATTTCTATCTCATTAAAAATCTGATATAATTATAGTGATTGTGAAAATTTCCATTTTGTTATTTAAAGTTTAGAGATGAGAAATTACATGAGCTGCTTTTAGTCCAAACAGGTGAGTAATATAATTGTAATTATTTTGAAAAACTTGGGGCTGTTCTCAGTACAGGAGATATTGCATTGCAATGTTGAAAATATTTTCCAGCACAAGAAATAATATTAGACTACCTTGTCACTACCTAGCTCCTGAGACAAGTCATTTAAATGCTGCTTTCTTCCCTTTTAATATTGACTTGTATGTCCCAAGAACCCCAGGCTATAGAAAATCTATATCTTAGAACAAAACAGAAACTTATGCTCCAGGGCTACAATTTTCATGATGCAATCTGGTACCCTTCTCAGCAGTTCCTCTGTTGTAAGCATTAGAAATTTTATGCAGAAAATTTCATCTCTTCTTGCACATCTCAATTTAATCAAAAATCCAATATTCTATAAAAAACATTTTGATAGAAAAAAAATACTGGTCACAGTATTAGTTTAACTGTCAGACTCTCACAGATTTTAAATCAGAAAAAGTTTTTGGTTGGTACTTCCAGAATGAAAGGTTAGCTGGTGAACTCAAATGCATTTCTTCATACCTGCAGAAGCTGTTGATACTTTGAGAAAATATTCCAGCAGAAGACAGTAACTTTCCTTGGTGACTGTATTTTAGACAATAGCATTTATATCTACTACAGAATTGTTTTTATTTTGCAGAAATACTGAATTCTACATGTATGTGCTATTACTGCCCTTGCGTATAATTGTTGAAATTTGATTACAAGTGTTTTTCAGAGATTCATCTGCATGATTTAGTGATACATAGCCAGAAAGAGATAGAGGGCAAGGAAGTTCCAATTACATATGAAAATTTTCAACAACGGAATTAACTAACATTTAGTTTAAACACATAATGGTTTTGTTCATGTTCATGCTTTTATTCCGTCACATTCAGCAGTTCAAAATAAAACAGTGAAAATAAACTGAATCTACACTTGAGCACACAGAAAAAAAAAAAAAAAAAATGTGTTTCTCTAAAAACCTGTGAGTTTTATGCACCCTTTCTATTCTGTTTTTCTCTTCCCCCATAAGCTCTTAATCTTCAGCCTCCCTTACAATATTACAGTTCAAAAATTGTTGTCAAATTCCTCTGTATTCTTCTAATTTATTTTCTAATCCATATGAATCTCTTTCATATGTAGCTGTTTCAGTGAGATCTGCGCTGTCATTTTCTTTCTCTCCCCCGAGAATTACCTTGAAGAAAATTTACTAAGCCACACACTCAGCATTGTCACAATCATGTATGACTTTAGTGCATTACAAATGGACATTGTTGCTCAGACAGATGGCCTTGCTCCCAATTTAAATCATTTTTATTGCTCATTACTGGCCGAAATCACAGGCTTTTCAGTTCATTTATAGAATTATTGCAGGGCATTCTGTCTCTTTTGTTACAATATGACAGGCCTTTCAATAAGGATTGGTGAGCTGTAATGCACACTGACAAGACAGTGAGTTAAGGCTAAAGCTAAAACTAATGAAGAATATGGAAATCAGATTTAAAACTGTAAATCAGACTGTGAAATTGTGTTAGTTGTCTAGCTTTTTCTCTTTTGTTTTGCATAATTATCTTTACATTTTCTACTGGCTGTTAGCATTTCATATCTTGATGGTAAAATTTGGTATGCAATGAGAGTGGTGGTGTTTCTGGCCATATTGCTGAGTCCTACGTTTCTCATAATACCTCATCATTTGGTCTAAAAGAACACATAAATAAAAAGAGACTGGTATGATTTTCTTCAGATGTTGATATAAAATTAAAGCCTATTTAAAACCTTAAATTTACATTTAAGAACCTCTTTTAGGAATGGCTGCTGAAAGATGCCATATAATTATTAGTCCCTATGTATCCTTTGTTATCTAGTCAATCACTGATTAACATTCCATAAAAGAGAAGTACATGTATTACATTTTAAGGATCTGAAACTTACAGACTCTGAAACTACAAGGTAACATAAATTGTGTCACAAACAATGGATTATTTTAACACTGTCATAAGAAAAGGTGAGAAAGATTAAGTGAAAATGCAGACTTTGAGAGAGTTTTCATTTATACAAAAGCCCCAAGTCTCACTAAGTATTCGGACAAATTCTGTGTGTTTTTATAGCTTGTTTTTAATGTGAATGATGCTTTACGGCAGTATTTTTAAATCATCATCATTGACCTGATTATGGTCACAGTGATTTTAACATTAAAATTGACATTGCCTTCCATGGCAACAAGATTTGGTCAAACAGCATGTTCCTGAGTTGGCTACATATAAAGTTTAATTTATCTAGTATATCTTCAGTGAAGGAGAAGATGAAACTGCTAGGACCTTATCAAAAGATATTTGATTCTGTGCAGCTTTCACTAGAATTATTTACAGCTGCAAGTATAACTTCATATTATGCTGCAGGCAAACAACAGCTGCTTCTAAATCTTGGGACTTTATAGACCATATTTTGAATTAGGTTCTTCAGATGTACAGTTGTATTTGGTTGATTTGCTCAGCTACAAGTAAGTCAGCGGCTGGGCAGGATGTTGCTAGATAAAGAGAAATCACTGGCTTGTTGAAAGTGGGCAGACTCTATCTCTATACATCAGCTCTAGAAAGGGATGCATGAACAGCACTTTTCTGCATGAAAAGAAGACATTCCTCACCATTTTTTTGTCTCTGCCCTCCCTCAGTTTCACTCAAATATCAAGCTAAGACCAGCCCAGTTTCCTATTGATGGCTTACTAAGAGAAGCTTCTAACTTTCTCTAACAGCTATAAATGTTATCCAACATAGTCATGAGTTATATCTAGTTATTTTCCTTTAATTTCTGGGAACAACCACAACAAAGAGAGAACAATACCTCTCTTCAGGTAAGTGTGCAAGGGTTTGGAGAACTCTGCTTTCAGAACAAATGCTGTTCCAGCAAGCTATAGATTCTGAAAAGGAAATTCTGAAACACATCTCTGGTGGAAGCAGAGAAAGGGAAATACTGAAAGGCACAGCAAAGCATGTCCAGCCTGCAAGGGCATATGTTACATACTGCCCTGCCTGTCTCCAGTCACTCCACCAGTCTAAAAGTTGTTTACATAGTGACCTCTGAAATACTTGTGTCTAAAAAGTTTGTGACGGCTGCTTTCTGAAATTAAGTGTAAGGGGCTCTCTTACCACATTACTAGTTAAACAGTTACTCACATTTGTTCCCGATCCTGACAGCAAACCCATTAGGGAACACCTACCTTATAGAGAAAAGCTTGTAGCCTGATTGTTCAGCTGTGCTGGGAGTGCAGTATGTACAAGATGTGTTAAGATTTCAGTGGCCCTTCACCTCCAAGGTTGAGAACAGGGTAAAAGTAGAACAAAAGAAATCAGTGCTGCATAACTTCTGAGTAACTTTACTGTAGCACGTAGTGCTCCTGGGACTGCTTGAGCAAATTAACTTATGCTGAAGGATTGAAAATTCAGACTGGGATCTTAGATCTTTGCTCATTGATGGATACTGATTGATTCAAATTTTAATCTCCACACAATAAGGCAGATGTGATTATCTCTGATTACGGAAAGTCATCACCTTACAGAGAGGTGGTTAATATCTTCTGGAAAACTCTTGAAAATACAATCAGTTTTTAAAAGTTGCTTAGCTCATGACATAGCTATACATTTTTCATCAAGGAAACAGGCTAGGGATTAATTATTTGATATCTACATCATAAATTGAGCTGTATTCCAAAAGCTGTTGGGTGTAAAAGGGTTGTGTTTGTAAGCATATTATTTCATTTAATGCTTATTAACCATACTGATTGAAGAAGACTGACAAAAGTCACAAGTATGTATATTTATTTTTTGTATATTTATATTTAATTCATCAAAAACAAAATCAAGTCATTATAGAGACTGGACCCTGATATGCCACTGAATAGTCTTGATATAGACTTTAGACTTTGCTGTTCCATCCATAGTTATAGACTCACTTCTGAAGCAAATTGGAACACATCTGAACACATCTGAATAGCAGAATATAACTTAAAAGGTGAATTATCACGATGGTGATGTCCAGACCCACCAGACAGGGGAAAAAAGCCAGTGAAAAGGCAAAGAGGTAGCTAAAGTCAGCTTTTAGCTCCCAATATCCAAATGAAGCACCACCACTGTGATCTAGGTGTTTTACTGCATTTCTACTGACCTAAATATCTCTGTAAACAAGTTACACAAAAGCAGACCTACACTCAATTTAAAAAACAAATCTCTTCTCTCTAGATACAGAGGAGATTTCTACAGGATTCTTCCATCAGCTTTCTTTTCCTAAGAAAAGAAATAATCTACTGCAAATTTGGCTCCAGAATGCTTTCTCCTGAGCTTGTAATTGTTAAAAGCATGTGCCAGGACTGCAGCTTCTGTTTTCATCTTCCCATGAGAGAAGGGGAGCAGCTGAGTAGAGATGGCTATGTGCTACTACTGCCAAAACTGTGTCAATCTGCTGTTTGTGAGGGGTCTCACTCGTGACACCTCACACACATTGTGCATTT